ACCACCAACAAGTCACCCTTGCACTGACGACCAACTCGCCGCCGCTTCCTTTTCGGGTTCCACTCAAGCGATGGCTTGTCTAGTGATCTCACTTGATGGTTTCCTCAGAGTATGGCCAGCCAATCCATCTCCAATTCTTCCTGCCTATTTTTTTGACAATCGGTTCCAGCAGGATTGGTTCGCTCATTGCCAGAGATCCCCTATGTTGCTGATATTTCTTACCCGCCATCTGATCTTGAGTAGTATTGAGCGAAGACAACTGGCTGTTGATGAAGGTCTGCAGTTTGTTTGAGATGCTCTTTATGACGCGCTGGCCAAGTCTCTCATCCGTATGGCAAGTGGCACTGACTGACTTCACATTGGAGTTGAAAATTCGGACCTTATTTTTGATTCTGAGTGCTACTGACCTCCACACAGACTTCAGATTAGTGAAAGCTTGTCTTGCTTTTCCGATCGATTCTTTCTTTGATATCTTCGTCAGTGCCGCCCGCCTGTAGTTGAAACGATGCTTCCCAGGTAGGTTGGCAGGTGAAGAAAGTTGTTTCTTTCATGTTCTTTCCGTTTATGCCGATTGTTGTCTGTTGTTCTCGTCGCTGTTGGTGGTTTTGACCAGGAATCTGCATCATCTTTGATGCTTCTTCTGCCAACTTGTTGCTTTTCGCTTGCATATCTTCGAGTTTGTGGGAAATCAGACATATATCATCGACGAAGTCCAGATCCTGCAAGTTTTTTGTGTGAGTCCATTTTATGCCTGTTTCCTCATTGCCCGTCGCTGTTTGTCGCATTATCAAATCTACTGCAATCAAAAAAATCATTGGCGATGGCAGGCAGCCAGCTTGTCTTACTCCTGTCCTCACTTCACAGGATTCCATACGTTTGCCGTTGTGGATTACTTGGTATGCAGCATTGTCGTACAGCTGTTGGATGAGATGTATAATTGTCGGTGGCACCCCATAGTAGCGAAGTAGTTGCCAAATCACCTCTCGATCGACGCTGTCGAAGGCCTATTCAAAGCCGATCAAGTTGAGCGAGGTAGAGACGTGACTGCAATTCCAAGCCTTGTTCAATGATGATCCGTAATGTGGCGATCTGATCAATACATGACTTGTTTCTCCTGAATCCAGCCCATTCCAGTCGAAGCTTTTCATCCAGGTTGGCTTGTTTGATTCTCTCCAGGATGATGCGGCTTAGTATTTTGCTTGGGATGGACAGGAGCATAATTCCGCGCCAGTTTTCGCATTGATTTAGGTCTCTTTTCTTTGGCAGTTTGAATAAGTATCCTTTCTTCCAATCCTCGGGTACTTTGCCTTCATTCCACACCTTCTCCAGTAGTGGCGTCATCAAGTCCGCTGCTGTCTCTGCATCAACTTTCAATGCTTCTGCTAGGATTCCATCTGTTCCTGCTGCTTTTCCAGCTTTTAGCATCTTGATTGCCTTCAGGACTTCTGATTTCGTCGGGGGTTTGGTGTTCACTGGTAGCTCTGTTTCCGTTGTTGGTATTGTTTGAAGAATGAAAATCTATAAAAATTTCATCAAAAACCGTGTAAGCCTAAACCAAAATACCACCAAGAAACCATCCTCCAAATGACCACAAGATAATTCATTCTTTCATCAATAAAGAAACATCTCTGAAATAAACTGCTAGAATAATAAAACCATTTCAAATACAATCAGTTCATTCAATACTGTTTACACCGAAGGATCGAATATCTAAAGAAGACATCATCATTACCATCTACAAAACAAATTGGAGTAAACTGCGATAAACAGTTTATTGGTCAAAGTGGGCGTCCCCTTCACCTCAGAAGTCAAGAACATCAATTAGCTATGAAAAGATCTGATATGTATATTCTTTCGTATCATCGCATGTCGATAATTACAGATACCAATTTGACTGGCTGAATGTAGAGATTTTGAAAAGTCGGAACAGTAAAAATGCCAGGGGATTTCTAGAAGTCAGCTGTTCAGATGAATCAACGATTAATAAAAACACACTAATATGGGTCACACTTACCAACTAAGAAAAAATAAATAAATCACTTCTTAACAGAAAAGTTCAATTTCCAAGTCGAAAATAATGATAAATAAAGATGTAATTTAACAACCGACCACGACAATGCTTATCTGTAGGGAGATACAATTATGTCACCTGTCATGGAGAATTCAAACAAGTTTACTTCTCATAGAATCTTGCACTGAAGATGTTGTCCAGGTGGATAGCGAATGCTTTGCGAATAAATCAACTAGCTCAAACAGCACAGTCAAAATGGATTCATCCCCATCTCAGATAAAAAATTTTCTCAAACTACTCATGATGAGCGACATTCATAGGTCCTTTTAATTAGTTCTGTGTAAAAATCGATACTCAAAGTGAAATGACTTGACCGCCTAATAGAACATCAAAAATTTGTTTATATGTGAATAGAAAGTTGATACATAAAAAGAACCGTAACACTGTCTAGTAGAAGAAGGAGAAGGAGAAGTGCACTAACACACAAGTCAGAAATTATAGCTGAATAATGGAATCTAATAATAATAAGAATAACAAGCAGTTCTTGACCTGATTATAACATTTTTTTGTTCTTCTCTTTCCCTAATTGGACGTAGAATTGGTATAAATATAAACGAAGGCAGAAATAAGTAGAAATCGCTCATTAGACGAGTGAGACAAAATCATGAGGTCTGTACTATCATCACCAGTTGTGATTTCACTCATCCTTTTATTATTTGGGTATAATACACTGGACAAAGGTAAGTAAGTTGAATATGATTGTTTTTAGTAAATCTCAGTTGATAATTTAATGTGAATTGGATATTTTATTAATGTGTGCACCGGTAGGTCAGAGGTAGAACACTCAGCAATCAGGCACGTGGTTTGCGCTTCGGCCCCAGTTGACTCATTCCTCAACTTCGGCTAACTAGTAATAATCCGGGTAGAGAGTGGAGGTAACAACAGATTACGACTGTGAACTACAAAGATTTTCAGAAGATATGCTGTGCATGGAATTTGGAAAGTATAATTCATCTTGAATAACAGAAATAACAGTGAGGACCTATTGGTGGATGAGATTATGTCTGTGTAAAACAGAAATTTGGACGGTGTGTCTCATAGCTTGACTGACGGCATGTTTCCTCCCATACTCAAATAATAATATCAGTTTCTTTATAAATGTGAATTAAAAAGCACCCTGAATAAGATTTTCGATGGTGAGATTGTTTGAGGGGAATACTTCAAACCTGGCTTTATTTATTTATTTATTTATTTACTCATTCATCCCTTTGCGTACCGAGTGTGGGACGCAGGTCTTCGAGTTGGAGCTTTGAAGTTTCAGTTGTAGTGATGTTTATTTTTTATGGGGTGGGGTTGCTAGCCTCACGCTCAACCATCCGTCTTCACCGGTTTCACTACTGGCTAAACCAGATTGAGGAGTGCGTTGGCCGAGGATCAAACCGCAGACTACGCGCGCTGTTAGTGAGCGCTTTAAACTTGAACCACACCTGACAATGACGTAAAATAAGACTATATTGCCTGAATTTGAAACTCACCCCACTGACATCGTATATCTGTGCTCCTTTACCTATTTGTATTGTTAATAAACGTTCTTATGTATCTCAAGAAGATTGATTCGAGCATTTTCTAGTGTACACTTGTTACAATAAAATGAAAGACTCGTGTGCATAACAACAAGCGCTTATCTCTAGAATGTACTCAGTCTACGAAACCACTTCCAGTCACCGAGGATGACACTTTACCACTACTCTGACATGTTTGACTGTATTCTGCCAGAATGACTAATCTACTAAAATGTAAGGTAAGGTGTGCAGGAGAAGAGATTCACGTGATTACATCACAGTTTGGTGTTTCTCTAAAATTCCCTGACAATTTTCATACTGGACAAGAATAAAATATTTGATAATATTGATACAGGAGATGGGAAGATAAATAACAACCCGTAGACTGGTACTTTATGAGTAATGTTTTGATGGAAGGTGGCGGTCTGATAGAAAGAGAACAACATGGTTATTTTTGATTTTCTTCACTGTTTCTGTTCACAAGGACATGGGTATCTATCTATAAATGCTCTAATAATTTCTTATACTGTCTGTCCTTCGTGTTGTATCAGTCATGCGTGTTGATGTACGAGATATGAACAAGTTGTAGGAAACTTTAACTCATTTTTCGCCTCACCGATGAATATCAATCGTATGAGAAATGAAGAAAATGTTCAGTTTATCACTTCAGACAAACTGAGGTAAAGAAATCATCTTGATTTCACCACTTCAGTGTGGAAGTAGGAGGAATACGTAGCCCCTATCAACAGTAACTAATCTTAGTTCTCTGCATGACGTCTTCATACATTGAACAGCAGCAAAGATATGGAAGTCCCTTTCAGTCAACACGTTCCAAATACATTCCGACTGATTTTCTACTCGAATATCGATCGACAAAGGAACTCTGCAAACAGCTTGCGATAATTTTGAATTTGAATTGGGATTAACCCGGAAGCATACGTAACTGAAAAATCCTGTGCTGATATGTGTAGTGCAAACTTCAACACTAATTGTCGTCCACATTGGACTGAACCAAACACCGAATCAGTAAGTTTGTTGCCTCTTTCTTATTCACGAATGAAACTGTTCTTCATGTAGTCTTGGTAAATGCAACATCAGCTGAAGCAGCCAGCATATTTTGCATCTGATGGCTGTGTGCCAAGAGAAAATGTGCATGTGACATTGTTGTAGACTGAAACTTGAACAAATGTGATGTGCGAAAATTTCTCATTATCACGCAAATTTAATTAAACAGCAGTTACTGTGGTTTTGTTCACATGATAAGTGTAATTCAAAATGTTTGAAAATTAAGCGTCACACGTTGTTTGGCTTCATTCTGTGATGAATTGCATCATCCAGCCGAATACTATGGGACAATTTTTCACTTTAGCATGTTTTGGTTTGAAAAGTTGATTACAAATTCATTACTCAATAATTTATGAGAGAAAATGTTCTCTTTCTTTTTTCTTACAGTATCAGCTAAACCACCAGCTTCTACTAATTCCAAACATCTTGGCAAATCTAAAACTCCAGGTTAGTTAGTCAGTCATTTGATTTCAATTTTCACTCCTTCTTTACTACTTCAAATATCGTAGTGATTAAAATAAATAAAGTTGAACTACAATGTCCACAAGTTTATGCATTCAGACACATGCAGCCACCTCAAAGGGATATTTATTCCCAAAAACAATTATTATTATTGAATACATTTATATTGTTCTGTGCAGTTTTACTGAATCCTTCTTTGATGACTTAACCAATTCATGATTTTCACTTTGACACTTTGCTTTTAACTTGAACTGAAAAATACAAATTGAATAATTACAGAGTATCTCCTGAAGTTCGTCGAAACGTGGAACACAATTTACTCCTCCATTCGTATTGTATGCTATCAAGTAGCCAAACATTCATTGTCGGGCTGAAATTTCATTCAGTCCTGTATTCTCGTCTACTTCACTGTGTAAGTGTCAATCAACCGTCAGTACAGTGGACGAAAGTGAAGAGGAAATTATCCATAAACATACACATGACATGATGCACATTTGTTTTCTATAGTGACAAAGAGAATCGAATATTCAAAAAACAGTTTTTCGCCCATTAGGATCTAACAACAAATTGGAAGGTGTTCTTGCTCAATTTTCAGAAACACTGAGAAACAAAGAGCTGTACGTTTCAAAATTGTACGTGGATTTGACTCTGCAGATCGCCAATCTCCTCTCACAGACACACATTATCTCAATTACCACCACTAAACGTTTTCAATTAAAAAAAAAGCTTGACAGAGCACTGACTACCGCTAATTCATCCTTTTATAATGTCGTATGATTTGCTAATAATAATAATAATGCATACGATTACGTTTCTAATACATTTTAGAAATTGCCTCAGTGGAACTGGTTCTGTCAGTCAGAGAGTGGAATGAAACAGCCATCACAAGAAATAGTGAAGAATCACTGAAAATTTTGGATAAATATTGTCAGGATGTAAGTAATTTCAATGTTCAGTGAAATAGGAGTCTGGAAGAGAGATTTTGACGATGTCTGAATGTTTTCAATACAATCCCTTGACAATCACCGTGGAAACTATCATGTTCAAGACAATGGTGTCCATGATGGAAAACGTGTGTAACGTGTGTTATACAACAAGGGCGACAAACTTGCCATACACATTTGAAATCAGTCGAAGAATTACTCATCACACTACTATGAGGGATTTAGAGGATATTCATATTTATGTGTCTTAATTACTTTCAGTCTCATGACCGAGGAGGCATAAACACTTTAATTTATTAATTAACTGTCGATTTGTAAATATTAGTCCCTTTGGCGTTCTCACAGTGCCAGCCAGCCAGCGTTGACTAGTGACAGGCTGCAGACAGGCTGTCCTAATTTCAGTAGACTATTTGCATATAACCTACGATTTCTCTCTGTTCTTTTGTTGATGTAATCAGGTGAAGGATGTGGTGAAGAGTATGGAAAAGAAACTGAGTTCAGTTGCCTTATCATGTGATATTCCATTACAACTGAATCGAAATACCCGAAAACTCGAAATCACAGTACAGCTTATGATGTCGTCCAGTGAAATGGAGAAAGCGTTCTCGTCGAAAGCCTGGTTCAGACTATTTAAAGAATCAGTCAAACCTGGAGCAATCCCAGTGATGATGATAAGTGGCCAACGGGTGAGTGAAACAAGTGGTGTGTGTGTGTGTCTCATGACTAGGAATATACTAGTGGTTGGTAGAATAACTACTACTTTCATTTGTGAAATAATAATAAGGCGATCTATTGATTTAGGGGAATAGTAGTTCGTCAGCTAAATGGTATTGATTGATTGATGAGTACGCTCATTTATTTTTAGTTGTCAATGCAGTGTGACTAATGCAGTGAATAGTGATGATAATCTATGAGAGTGGTTTGAATTTGTAAGCATATTAGTGGTAGTTGTTATGCCTCCATGTAACTGTTCGCAAATACACTGATGTTTTCGAGAGTCCATTGAATCAAATACGTTTATTTCATTTGATTACAGCTATTGTGTCAGTAACGAGTAAGTTGATGATTTGTATAATATTTTCATATATTTTCTATTTCCCTTTATGCAAACGAAACACATACGTCCACATGGAACGATAAATTGTGAATACTTTCGTAGTGAATGCGGTTGTACTTGATGTTTTTTAGTAATAATAGTTTGCTTTTGGGTTCCGGATGGAAAATACGTCTTCAGAAGCATGTCTTCATTTGAGTCTGTTCTCTGAAGTCTTTCACACCCAGCTGTACAATCGTTCATACGCTTTCATCGCTTCTTCACATCATCTGATACTCGGACTCACACCCAACTAGTCGTTTCCAGTTTACGCTCCACTTGATGGCCTGCCACATGATGTTACTCAACAGTTTCAGCGTATTTCTAATCAAACTCCACTTCTTCCTCCATATCTGTTCGGTGATATGTCATAGTCTGGTCCATTGCCAGAGTTCCTTGCTGTTAATCTTCTCCAACCGGCTATCCTAAATTCAGTGGGGAGAGAAGGTAGCTGACTGACTTGACATTAGTATTGAGAATTGGGATCTTGTTATTTATACTGAGGACAGGCATTTTTCACCCTAATTTCAAAATTAACGAAGGTCTGTCTTGCCCTTTCGTTCCTGCCTCTGACGATGTCCTCAGTGCCACTTTTGCTTGAAACATTTTTACCTAGATACGTGAGAGAGGTGGCTGCCTTTAACTTTCCCTCGTTGATGGTGATTAGTGCTTGCTGTTTTTGATTAAGTATCCTTATCATGTTTGTCTTCTCTTTATTCACCCACATATTCCCTTCCACACTGTTTGGTATTCACTTGTAGACCTTAGAGTTTATGCTTAGTTTTGCTTTTATCAGAGGAAGACGCTTCGGTTGGCCGTTTGCTGGGAGGCTTTTATCAGCCTGTATCATTTCGTCTCCCTGACTCTAGGGAAGCAATATATCTAAACCCTCCTTCCTACCCTTTCCGAACATAGTATGGGCTGGTACATTAGTAAACTAGTAAACTAGGAGAGGTTTGATTTTAATTCCCGAATTCGAACTCTTAGCTTACGCTTTGCACATTCTCACTTCAACTGTCTGAACACATTTCTGATGATTCAAATCATTCTGGTCATTTGAATATTCCTCCATCAGAGTGAAGTATTTTGGTTATGACAAAGCTCGCATTTAAATGATACGGCAATGCTTGCACCAATGGGCAAAACCCTATACTCCCTAATTCATACTCTGGATTTCTGAATACAACATGTGCTATGGTTATTTGTCTACAGCAGAGCCCAAGTAGCTGAGAGTGAATCAGTGATTGGGGAGAGTAGTCAACGAAATGTCTGTATAACAGTGAAGGATAAAAGTGTTTCATCGTTTCAATCTCTGAAATAAGCCGACTGACGATGTTGTTCAATTATGCAGAATGTAATGCGACATTCACAAAAGGGTTTACTATTTTTTCAACATCACCTGTAGGAATAAGTCACTTGTTAGATTTTCACTGCATGAAACAGCAAAGTCTGCATTCATTCATTGGGGTAATTTACTCATTCAGATGCCAATTCTAGATGGAAAGTTTACGCTCAATAACAGTTATGAACTGAATCGTATAACTGAAACCTCTTAGTGCCAGAAGATAATTAGTCAAGAACATCCTTGCCTGATTGACTAATTTAGTTAGCCTTTAACGATATTCGTCAGCTTTCTGCTGTGAAAGTATTGTGCCTTGAGCAGTATTAGTTATTTCTGAGCATTTAAATTTTGTTCACATCGATAATCGGTGTATTATTGTTGAATCACCAAACATACTTTTCAATTTTATTTCCAGAAAAGGTATGGAAAAACACAGGTGAGAAGATGACGTAATTTTTGATGAGTATTGTGACATTGTTAGGGAATTTCAACTCTATGCTATTTATTGATCCATGTGTATTGACTAAGGACTAGACTTCTCCTCTCACTAAGCACTGAGAAAATATTAGATCGGCGTTTTAACGAATACTCAGTTTTCAGTCTTAATGTGTGTGTGTGTTGTGAATGAAAGTGCATGTAGAGGACTACATAATCAGGGGACCTGAACAGTGAAATCAAATAAGGAGAAACAGCGTTGGTATCAAACTACTGTCGCATAAGATTTAATGAGGTGATCGAAAGTGCTCACAAGATTAAGGAGAAGCAACAGTGGAACCATTAGCGAGAAAATATATAAGAAAGAGTTTAAGGCAATTGTGGTTCCACCATATAAGGAAGGGATGTCTGAAACTTTAAGTAGGATTCCTAGTAAAGCAGGAATTAGGGTGGAGTTTTAAGCCTAAAGTTTCACTCAGAGACAAACTCTCTAGACTAAAGGACTCTAATGACGTAATGTATTTTACAAAATACTTTGAAACGACTGTGAAACCAACTGCATAGATCACACCAGTAGATCGTTGGTGGTCAGATTATCTTGACGCAAGAATTTATCTGAATGAAGAATGACTGGCCACACAAGGGTGAATAGTTTAGAGTGAGGCTCAGCAATCTTAATGCATGTGCTAACACACAGTTACACAACAGGGGAGGGACAGAGCTAAAGTGATGACAGCTTATACATGTTGATTGAGTGAGATGAAGACGCCTGAATCCTTGTTTATCTAACACGTGCAGTAGGAACTACGCAGTGTCAGTCCCTCAGATATGCAGACATTGTTACCAGTAAGATCAAAGGATAAGAAATAATAAAAGTAGTAAATAGCAAAGTTTGAAACTAACGCTTGTGACCTGATAAGAAATATGAGGAATAGGTCTTACCCGCAGCGTCATCAGTAAACAAATACTGATGATGTCGCTATTCGCTAAGAGCAGATAACTTAGTTGTGTGAGAGAAACTACGTCACCTTGTTCGAGAAGGTAAGATGAAATCGTTTGGAATTTTATTTTTTCATTGGTGTTTTTAAGAAGGGTGGCATCATTTTTCTTGAATTGATCTTTATTTTAGAATACACACTGTCCTATCCTGTGACATTTCAAAAACTCCCCAACGGTTGGTGCGAAAAGGTTAGTTGTCATGCATGTCATGATCCGTCAGCTGGTTTTAATTCGGACTTACTGAGTGATTATTCAGTGCAGCCAATTGGAGTATTTTACAATGAAATACGACGCTGAATTTATCCACATCAGTAGGCCTGTTGTGATGTGGAATGCTTCATTTTATTTATGTACTATGTAAGGAACATGTTGATCTCAGTGTAAATGCGGCTGTTTATACCCTTCAAACGCGAGATGCTGTAACAACGTCTGCTAGTGAAGAGAATGGCAGCGAAGTGAGCGGGAATAATGATGAGTGTTAGTAGGTGTTAGAGACGTTTACTGTTACCCTTCTTATGTACTTACGTGGAAGGTTTACTGATGCCTGTCAGTCTGATCGACTCCGATTTTTGAGGAATTGGATAGCCACTGCAATACTGTTTCGTTGAGTTGAAGTGCTCAGAGTTTATATAAATGTTAGCTGAGAACCTTGATAAAACTGTCAGTCTGCTGATAACTTTGAGGACGAAATTCGCTTTCTGCTGATGCCCTGCATCCTGGCTGGAGCTTGCATTCAGTGGTTAGTATCCAATGCAGATTTGAGGAGAATCCGTGAAACGTTTCTATGTGCTTTGCTGCTACATTCTTATTAGGAGTCACATTAGCCCCAGTGGATGAACTGCATACCGAATCTGGCTGGTTATACATGGAGGAATAAGAAGAGGACGGAGAACAAGAATTGGCGTTTACGGACCTTCATGGTTGAGAAGCCACCACCTGAAAAATTTGTGTGATGTGTGATTCCTTAATTCTTTCGTACTTATTTATTGTCGGTGATATATGTGCAATGAAATCGGAAAATATAATGACACTGGTAACTTTAGATTGTATTTCACTTCATAAGACTTCCGTCTTTCTCAAATGTGACAGTATGGAAAGTAGGAAAGTGAGTAAGTACATAAGAACGACTAGCTCAGTGAGAAGAATGTAGTTCTCAGTATGTAACTGTGAGGAATTCAATTTCATTAACATGGGATGGATAACTATCCAAATCGAGGCATTGTACACGCTTACTAGTAAATAAATATGCCTACTACTGTAAAGATATATCAGTGATGCTTTTCGAATAGTTCCTCCTTTCTGACACAGCTGATGTTGTTTTTCTAAGGTAACTGTTAAGCAGAGCGGTAGATGGTTGTGTAGAATGATTTCGATCTATGTTCCACACGCCAAAATAGCTCTCTTCATGAACAGAATAACGACGAAGTGAAATGCACTCACTGTGTAATGCAGTGTACATATGCATTGTCTTATGCTACTACCTCGTTAACAAGTTTCACAGAAATCAGCTAGATTTTGGTCTACAGTCAATTTGCTTTGGATTGTGGGCTAAAAATTTCTTCAACAGTGTCAATAGTTAGTACCAAATACCTTTCAGTGATTCCTACTGATCTGATCTTTGATTTACTTTTTGAGGTAACTTTTGTGATCACTGTCAGATATAATCATATTTATTATTATTTTGAATGATGAGTGTTATTCAACTTTGAGGTTGTATTCGTTTTATTTTCAATGAACTGAGCTTGCTGACTTTTCACTTGATCTGTTTGGCTGATGTTTTTCAGGTGGAGAAACAGGTGTCAAAGTTATATCCTGGGTTGAAAGAAACAATTGAGAAATGTTCATTGAATAAGGCGACAAAATCAATCCAGTTGAAGTTATCACATGAGAAGCTTTTAGAAAAGGGTTACCTTAGTTCACGCAATGTTCTCTTTTGGCGTTTCCTATTTGGTGTTACTGAAGTACAGTTGGCTGATGTAAACTCAGGTATGTAATAATGGCAAAAGTGATATTTATTAAATCGTATGCGGGATATGTTTAGTGGATTGTGCTATGGACTTACTTATAGACTGAACGGATATTTGAAAGTTCAGGTGTTTTGTGTGTGGAACAAATGTCAAATATCTATGAGTGTCTGCAGAATAGGATGATGACCATTTGTGCATTATGATGCTGCTTGTTATCATCGAGTCAAAAGCGAACTGATCAGAGAGAACAGTATGTGTATAGTTGTGAGAAAGGTGTCCTTGCCTTTTCCTAACAGACGTTATTAGCAACCCTGTGAAGAAATATTTCTCATTTGCTTAGAATGAACACAATTCGACAACAATTTTTCATAGCCATGCCGTTCAGTAACCTGACACATCACCAAAATCATTTTTAACAGGCTACTGCAAACTTTTATGAGTAGCTAGCTGATTTCACTTAACACAGAAGAACAGAGAGCCAACCAGAAAGGATAGACGAAATACAACTACAGGCTGCGAACCAACCGAGAACCTCTTAGCCAAAAAATATGGAGGAGGAAATCGAGATAGATTCAACATATGCTGAAGAGATGGTTGAGTGACATCACATGTCGGGCTGTCAAGTGGAGGCCAGACCTAGAAGCGATGAATTAGTCGTCAGAGGGCGGAATGAAGAGGATGATATTAAGAGGGAATAGGAGTAGAAAACTAAGTAAAATGCAGTTATGTTCCTGCAGTCCAGTTTTACACTCGAAACGCCAGTTATAGTAAAACGATCGAAGACAAAGAACGACTTTCTGTATGCTACTGATAAACCTTATCAGTAGTACATGCCACAGCAGGATAAAGAGCAATGAAATGATAGCATAAATAGGAGGCTTAATTTCAAAAGCAGACCACCATTTCATCCTGTTCTCTGCAGTCTTTTTCACTTGGATTTCGATTGCCGAAAGGCATTCATTTCATCCTCACACGATCTCCTAAGTGTGACTATTTGATCAACACTCAATCCATTGTTTCATATTCGGGTTCCACTCTAGTTCCTTTTTGGCATGTGATACCACTCAACGCTCTCATTAGTATATGTTCGATCAGTTGATCTCCAATTCCCTGTCCATATATGTTGATTTCATCGGCTTCGTTACCACACTTCCTTGTTTTGTTTCCTTTTCATTTCTGGCCTGCCATCTGTTCTTCAGTTTGACTGAAGACTGTATGAAGTTTGAAGCCTACTGCAGCAATATATGCCGATCATATGCGGCTCGCCATGTTTGCAAAACAAGTGATAGCTTCACTTGTTACGGGATTGATCAGAAGTTTGAATGAGTGAGAGAGCCATTAGAGGACCAGTAGGGAGTACTGAAGAGCTGCTTCATCCTGGTTTGAGACTCCTCAGCAGTAAACACCCAGTAGAGTTCGAGATGAGGACCTCCCGGTTACAAGGCGAGTTTATAGACCATTCAGCTACTTGTGTCCCAGCCATTGGTACGTGAATTTCAACGTCTGGTAATCTGGTGAAGTGTATTTAGCGCAACTGTCAGCCAGTGTCTGTAACCGATATCAGATCGTGATCAATCCTGTAACCAGTCAACCCCCTCCTTCCTATACACCAACACAAGAAAATTAATCTGATGCTGACTAGCAGCGACTGGCTCTATATCGGAAGTTACTTGAGATTTCAAAATGAGAAGTCGTAGTCAGCGAGATCCATCAGGTTTCCAATCAGTAGGTTTATTGACCAAGTTTCGATAACAGTCAATACAGCGGCTTTCAGTAAATGAAAACCAACCGATGAAAATCATAATACTAACAGTTTTATGAAGAGTTTCTTTGTAACATATATCTTCACTTTTCAACATGATTTTCAGAGGTTCTCATAGCTGAAATAGAACTTTCAGTCAAACCGTTGGTAATTGGAGACTACAACAAATCAGACCGTCGATTCTTAGCAATCTTAGACAACCTCTGCAAAGATGTGAGTACAGTTTGTTTTGAAAATTTTTTAAAAATGGTAATGGATTGTAAAAATATGTAGACTTTTTTGCAAAGTCAATGTCTTCTAATATTGTTGAATAACTTCCTAGTTTATTGTAATATTTTTTTGGGAAGATACCTGAGGAATACATAAGTCGTTCTTGGAGATTGTATTATTTAACCGTGGAAGTACCAAGATCAGGATAGACAGCATGTTCATCACCAACCGTATTAGGATGTCTATTTATTTGCTAAAATGTCGACTATGATATACCGAAATACGGAGACAACTCGAAAACTAGGATTCACCTCCTGTGTTGGACGCTTTCTTCTCAGTTCTTTCATACAGAAAAATATACCATAGTATGCTTCATAGGCTTTCGTAAGTATAGAGTATAACTTGACAGAAGAAGTAACGATAGTGTAATAGCCGATTCCAAATTTTGGCGTTGTCCCTGTTCCTCTCTTCACTGAAATAATTCAGCATTTATGGTGGAGTGGTAAAACCAAACGTGGAGATTTTCTTTGTGTTTAGAACAAGAAGTTATCCGTTGTTTGTTCTTCAAGATGACGATATCATCATGGTATCAATAGAAATGCCCTAAATGTACACATGGAAGGCTGTAGTTAGACAATACTTACACTAACCAGTATCACTAGTTAACCCGAGGTATTCAATTCTGGGGAAAGAAATCAGTGAATCACATCTGTGGCATTTGTCAATGTAAATAAATCACCATTTTTTAAAAATTTTCTTGTTGATTGATTAGACCAAAGTGTTCAACGTCTTTTGACATGTTAGCCCCTTGTACAACGTCTGAAGACTAAATCAAATTGATTTGGTGAATATTGACTAGCAGTGGGATCCAGTAGGTGCACACTTCGTCCTATTTGGAGCTCATTACCTAGATGTATTCCTCAGTGAATGACGACGGTATACTAACTGACTCTGGAACTCAGTACCAATGGTCCCAGACACCAAAGAGGCATATTCTAGAAGATGAGAGCCACCAGAAAGACCTTTTATGTAATGGATATCTGTAATTATTTATTTTGAATTGAAGTTTAATTTTTCCGTTGATTGATGGGACACGCTGATCGGACATGTCAACAGAGGCCGGAGATTTCAGTCGAATCATTCAGCGAGAAAGTCAGACTGAATTGAAAGGGAAAGATAAGTGGCACCCACTTCATAAGGGGTGACTCTCCTGGTCTGGAGGATAACTCTTTGGCGTTTGATAAGATTGGTACTGAGTTTGAGACTCAATGAAAAGACCACCACTCACTGAAGAATACATCCAGATGCGAAGTACGCATCCTGGAATCAACTGCTAGTTACCATACATCAAAATAAATCCCCACTTATTTAGAACATAACTCTCAGATTCGATTTCTAAATTTTCTTCACTAATTTGCTTCATAGACTGTTGTAAAAGACTACTGAATTTACTTTCAAACTTAAGAGAGTACTTTCTACTTGTTTCTGTTTTTGATATCTTGCATAGGTAAAAGAAGTAGTGAAGAGAACAGAGCCAAGATTGAGCTCAATTCCACTGTCATGTGATATACCCCAGTTGGATCCAAATCAACTAAATACTCATAGTAACATTATAGTACTACTGGCAATGCCACATAGTGAAATGCAGCAGGTATTTCCGTCAGAAGAGTGGTTTGACAGTTTACAATCATCCTTTGAATCTGCAAGTATATTAGAAAGTGATAAATGGATAACTGGTAAGTGAAATGAAGTCAACAGGGTTTAAATGACAATTACTGTGTTTTTAATACAAAGAAAAGGGAGTAATTGAGGCTGAATGTATCAGTTTATTTCGGTGAGGTGTGTGCATCACTTGCTCGTGGGTAGAATGTTGGCCAATCGAGAATTTGGCTCAGTGTTTGATTCCCGATGGACCTACTCCTAAACCTCACCTAACAGACCATAAGCCCAGTGTGGGGGGCGGGTAACTTTGAGCGTCAGGTTAACCATCCCACTGTGTGTAGGGAAAGCATGAAGACTACTGAAACCACTGACTGACTGACTGACTAGGGAGTACTCTACTGCTGTGTCATTCATTTTGTCAGCAAGTATAAATGACCTCACCAGTGATCGAACCCAAGTAACTAACCGTCTAGTTATCTTCAATTTTCAACTGACTAATTTCAATCCACATTCAAACTCGAAACCGATCGAATCTCTACAGATCAAGTCAAGAAGATGTAAATATTCAGTTCTACAGATACTTGATACCACCACTCTATGTTGACTGTAAGAGAAAAATGGGGTGGAAACAGTCTTCTTAAGCATACTCGGGTTTATTGAAGAAAAGTAGAACTTGATTATTAGAGGAAGCATTCTCTGAGTAACTGTTTAAGATTTTATTTCTCTATCAGTATCAACATTTTTCACTGTCACACCCTGATGCATTACACTGTTGTGATTATACACATTTACCAAGATAAAATCCACGGAGTAATACAGAATAAACAAGTTTATTTTTGACATTTGTATAGTCATTGAGGTAAGGATTGGGTTCAAATAGATATTGCATTGGTGGGACTATTTTAAGGACTGATTTTCAATAAGCTACAAAAATAAATTTAGAAGCTGATTCTAGTGGATTAATTTTCTCATCTGTTCAATTTGAAGAAAACGTAGAATCTACAATGTCACTTACCAACAACAACGACAATAACAAGAAAGTGAAAGGAGATCGTCCACTTTACTAACCTCGATAGTAAGTATCATGTGAACTACACCTTGCGTGGATAAGGAATTCAAAGCCAACCAGGACCCATAAACAGAGACAGGTGTTCATTACTCTAAAATTGGCATGGTCATTTGCACCATTGAGCATGAGAGGCAAGATTCAAATTCTCGACACCAGTGCCAAATCGGTGCTGATTTAGACAATTCGAATTGATGATATGAATTTCTCATATCAGTTTTTCATCAGACTACTCAGGAATTTTGTCGGAAGCTGTCTTTACTCGACACTGAAGACCAGATAACCAGCTTCAACGGATAATGCAACAAGGAACTCTGACGAGAAATCTTTCGTCCAACAAATATACAGAAGGAGATGGAGATATACAGGACGCATTCTAAGGTGACCACTCGAATGATATTTTGCTCCAAGAAGACCGTAACATAGAACCTGAAGGGGAATCATTGATGTTGTAAGGGTTCAAGAATGATGTGAAAGAGATCATGTGAAAGGGGTATATGACCTTGTAGACGATCACGAAGCCAGCTGAGAAAAGACAACAGCGAACTGAGTGAAATGGAGATATACATCTGAATCTCAGCGTTTTATTCAAAATACGAATGACAAAATTTGGAGTTGTGTATATTTCACACCGAATTATAAGATTCAGAACAACATTTAAGAATAGAAGGACATAGTGTTTACTAACCATTGGCTGCACAGATGAATGTCTGTGTCAGTTTTGTTAATCACTCAGTAAGTTTGAAACTCTGACTATCGGTTACTTGATACTGGAGGGATAGTTTCTAGATACTGTATGCATAGCAGTTATCATCTGAAGCAGTTGCCTAAAAATCAACGAACTAGTACATTGCATTGATTAAAGTGAATAGTTTCACATGAAGTTTATTAATAATTTGAAAAAGAGGGACTTTTACACACACACGCACACACAGAAACAAACAAACAAGCACATTTCAGTATAAACAATGAACACTAATGATGATACACACCTGATAATCTCTTTTTCCTGTTTCAGATATCATTTCATTTGAAGGTAAGCACAATCGTTATGTTTCCAATCTTACGCATCGATTCAATTACACGCATTCAGCACGAATGAAGGTGTCGAAACCAGATTAAAAACTACAGGGCACGCATTCACCATTCTGAAATCAGTTTGGAAATCTACTACTACACTTAGTGTGAAAAACACAGTTCTCATTTTCAGCACCAATGTTAAGTCAGTCATTTCTAACCCTTGGGTCAGTAACACTGAACACACGTCTCGAAAATGCATTTCCATCAGGTTACAAACTTTTATCGACAACTACCTTCACTTCATATTAAAGGCAGGCTGGCTGCAAAATAGTTAGCCACAAGAAATTCTGAGAACAAACCAACAGGAGAGAACGTTTGCTCAACATCTTTTTCCGAAAGGAGATGACTATGGGTCAGACACACGCTGAGGTGACTGTCAAATGACGTCACACTCGAGGTCAGACAGTGAAGAGAAGACAGTAGAGGAATTGACGAGTTCGACGTCTGTCCGAGGTTAACAAGGAGGAGATCGTGTGGGACAGAAATGAGAGACTGTTGACGGACATGTGCCCAGCTAAACAGGATCTCAGAGAATAAGAAAATGTGATGATGTGTCTTTGGTAGGGTGTGTCGCACTAAAGACGGAAGTGGACAAGAGTACTAGTAATACTACAGACACCATCTTAGTTTACTGTGAAAACAGACAGTTGACTAAACTTCACGAAACACCGTGAATCTCACTTCAAAGTTTGCATTGTGAGATTTAATTGTCGTCTGCCTATTAGTTATAGCCTAATAATCGTAGTATACAAATACGAATGATTGTTATCCCCATCACTTGACGAGTACTACGAAAATTAATGTACCTCAGTAACAACAGTTGAACCGATCGGTACTAATCACGAATTACAAACTAAGTGGTATATTTGTGATACAGCCTATGTAGAAAACGTCAGGACTACTATAAAGTGAAAGTTAAGCAACTTTTCTGATTAGTATTGGCCCACCCGAGGCCTCTGATAGTGTGAATGATAATCAGAGTAGCTGAAGCACATAAGTATGAAACTTGGACACTGTGGTAGAGGATAACTCCATTAGAGATGAGATTTTATTTTGATAAAGCGTCACACAGTGATGTTATACAGTAAATTAACTGATGACGTTTTGATGAGCACAATTTATTGCTCATAATCATATCAAGTCACTACTCACACTACTTTTACTGCATTTATGTACATTAGTGAAATTGATCAGATTGATTCGGTATGCTTAGGACAAAGAAACTAAATTTGAACAATTATTGAAAACTCTCAGCATTAAATAACCGCATGAACTAACCGCCTTTTAATGGAATGTTTAGATGCTTTTGTCTCATTATATACTCATAACAATTGAGGTGGCTAGACGGTGCACTACAGTCTTTTAAACTTATGTTTCTTTGATAAAGTTATTGATGATGATGTTTCCTTTTGGCGTGAGATAATTTCAGAGTAATTTTGTTTATAGACTGGCATACCTTACGGAAAATATTTTCTAGAAGTAGCTAAATTTTGTGATGGCCATACTGACAAATAAATGGGTTAAATAAAAGGCTGTCCTTGCAGAATTATGTGGGCAGGAGGCAACACAACAGATTATGCCTTAACTGATAATACCCTTACATCCAACTTCAGTGGTCACAAAAGTTTCATTACAACTTCTACAGGGATGTCATTAACCGAGCCACTAACACACACACACACAATAGCCTGATGTTCTCCTCTGAAATTTGCGATAAAATTTATATCATAAATCAATTAACACTTTTGAAGGACTGTTGAAACTATCCGGTGACGCTTAAATAGTCATTGTTTCTCGAGACTCTTAGTCGTGAAACAGAATTATCATTATACTTGTTAAGACATGTGGGGATGGCTGTGTGTGCAGTCAGAGAATATCCCAATGAAGGGAACAAGACTGTTGAGGTCAGAAGTGAAATTTATCCTGATGAAATGCAATAGGTATTAGGAAAATCAATTATCCTAAAGTTGTAATTGTGCAAATAAAGACTAAATTCCGTTTCTGAGCGGATTCTAACCCCAGTCTACTGTGTTGCCTTCTTCTCGAGTCTCTACTTCATCTGACCTTTTCCATGGACATATAAATTATCATATTCTATGTAAAAATATTACTGGAGAAATTACTTAAATCTGTTTATAAGTATCACACATTGCGTGACTGATCTCGGGAGATTAAAAATTTTCTGAGAATATCACTGATTTCCTTTTTTTAACTTTCAGAGCCATCAAACCTCGTCAAAGGTGAGACACCTGCCAATACTTCATCTTTTAAACGCCTAAGTCATTATTATTATTAAATTACTCACGAATAAAAATGAGAAGTTAATATTGTGTGTCCAGTTTATAGCATTAATGCTGAGTGAATTTTATTGGTGAAGTTTCTAATTCGGTCTCATTAGGCTAAGTGATTCACTATTTTGCTGCACTTTGATATTAGGCGACGGTTAAGAAGCAGTCGACAGGAAGCCATGAATATAAATTTTGTGATAATTGTTACTCCTTCGAGAAAAGATGATGTGCAAACGTGACTAGCAGGAGGTATTGGACAGTAAAAACTCAGGACTAGACATGTGCAATTTGGTTATCCTGCAAGATCAATAACTTCCTTCCTTGCATTCTTACAGGAGATCAGTCGTGTGTTGATCAATCTGAGTGGTAATGCTGTGGTGAGTGCTACTTATAATCCGATATAAGTAGTATATCAGAAAGCGGATTCAGAAGAGTAACATTATGTTTTGCACAATGGAAAGAGCGATCAAAGAAGAGAACCATGAGAAGAATGTTGTCATATGATGCAGAATACAAGAAGCTATCGAATGTGACGATATTTGACCAATTCGTCAAGGATGTGGTAAATGATGTGGAAATGGCAGTTTGAAAATATGGTATAGCAAATTTACCTATGTACAATACGTTTCACCACAGAAACATTCCTTTCAGCCTCCTAGGTCTTTTCTTCCTTACATTTGGTGTCGCTGCTTCTGCCGGAGATGAAGGTGCGGTAGCTGCAGGTGTTCGAGGAGGGAGATGTGTGGACGTTCCCCAGGGATGTCGAAGCTGTCGCTGAGCTGGTTGGAGTGCAGGAGCAGATGTCAAAGCTGGTTGTCTTGGGAACTCTGCTGAGAGTCCGTGAGAATGCTGCGTACGACGATTCTCGGGAGCTGGAAGGTGAGGCGGTTCGGGTCAAGGTCGTCGAAAGGATCGTGTGCGAGTTCGACAGCCCTGCGACAGACGAGAGGCGCTGAAACTTGGCCAGGATGGGGATACGTTGGTCCTCGCAGTAACGCTGACAAATCACCAATCAATGGATGTTTATGAAATGCCAAAGGTGACAAGGCAGATAATGACTTCGCATGTTGCTCCAGTGATGATAGAGTGCCAAGATTCCAAGAACATCGAAGACCAGATTGAAGAGTTGAAACAGCAGGTGGCGGCTATGCAGATAAGGAAAAGACAAAACAACAGATGTTTTGTTTGCGAAGGAACCGGTCACTGGCAGAGAAACTGCCCGAAACGAAGGCAAATACTTTAAACGGTACAACCTTTCTTCTTTTTCTCGCTCGCGTTTGGAGGTGGTCGGATTAGTCGAAAGAGGTTCAGTGTACGGAAGATTACGGGTGAACCAAAAAGAACTAGTTTGTTTGATCGACACAGAGGCCGCAGTTTCGTTGATAGATAGAGAACAGTGTAAAGAAATAAGGCCGTGCACATTAGCAGTTCAGACGGCAGGAGGACATCCTTTGCACATTTTCGGCGTTTCAGACTGCGTTGTAGAGATTGGAGCAGGGAAAATACGATATCCGTTTATTGTAACTTCTGATATAAGACGAACGATTTTGGGAGCAGACTTTCTCAGAGAAGTAGGAGCTGTAATCGATATGAAGAATAGAAAAGTGGTCACAAAACACGGGCAATTTGCGATACATGAGAATAGTGAAGTCGCTGAGATGGAAACCACAACCATTGTTCCGCAAGATGCACCACGTCTAACCACGTTGATGAGTAAATATGCTGGCTTATTCACTAGTGATGGAGACCCGTACGGTTATTGTGACAAGGTAAAACACTGAAGGATCCGGAGAAGACAGTCTTTTCATCGCGACGAGTTCCGGTTCACCTAGAAGAAGAAGTTAACCGACAAGTCAGAGAAATGTTAAACGACGGAATAATCGAAGAAGCCGACAGCCCGTACAGTTCGCCAATCCTTTTGGTAAAGAAAGCGAACGAGAAGTATAGATTTTGTGTCGATTTCAGACAGCTGAATAGCCTCACCGAAGTAAAACAGTGTGCAATGCCTACCGTAACAGAAACCCTTGATCGCCTTCATAAAGCCATGTTATTCACCGTGTTCGACCTACGATCGGGTTACTGGCAGATCCCAATAGCAGAAAGTGATCGAAGTAAAACAGCTTTCACAGTTGGGCAGAAACAATACCAGTTTAAACGAATGTCATTTGGATGGGTAGGTGCCCCATTTACATTCAGAAGATTAATGACCTTATTACTGAATGGTCTGAAGAACGTAGAAGTACATGGAGATGACTTGGTGGTGTATAGTGAGACGGAAAGCGACCATATAGACCACATCGAAGCTATCTTAAAGAGAATTGATGACTTTGGACTGCGGATCAATAAGAACAAGTCCCAAATAGCCAAAAACACGGATGTCCTCCTGGGTTACAAAGTGGGAAATGGAGAAATACGGCCATTACCTGAGAAAATCCTGACGGTCAAAACCAGCGAAGTGCCAAATTCAAAGCGAAAGCTGAGACAGTTTTTGGGAAGAGCGGCATTCTACAGCCGATTTGTCAAAAATTTCAATGAGATAGCAAAACCGCTATATACGTTGCTGAGTGACGCGAAATTCATGTGGACGGAAGAGGCACAGCAAACGTTTGAGCGAATTAAAGAGCTGTTAGATGGTCGACAGATGACGTTGAAACTGCCATCACCAGGGAAGCAGTTCACAGTTTCGACAGACGCCAGTGATTATGGTATAGGTGCTGTCTTAAGACAAACGGATGGGGTTGTTGAATACGCTAGCCGTGTGTTGACACTTGCAGAACAGAAGTATTCTACGGTGGAAAAGGAGTGTTTAGCCATTGTATGGGCACTAGAAAAATGGAGACCGTATCTGATCGGCCGCCGATTCCACACTGAGACCGACCACAAACCTCTTCAGTGGTTGAAAACAGCACGGGATCCACGAGGGAAGTTATCACGATGGATGTTACGCCTACAAGAGTATGACTTCACGATTGGACATATTCCAGGAAAAGAAAATGTAATAGCTGACTATTTGTCGAGATCAGATAATGAGACTGAACTACCAGAGGTAGCGTATGCAGTAAACGCTTTGGAGCAAGATCCCTTACAACTTGTTCGCCACCAGAAGTCGGATCCTACTCTTAAGACAGTCATTCAGATGATAAGTGAAGGGAAAGAAATTGAAATGGCAGCAGAGAATAAAGAGTTAAAAATGCTACTGCATCAAAAACATAGACTCAAACTAAACGCTGCCGGCGTACTAACTTGGAAAGACAGTGATGGTAGCTGGGTTACAGTGATACCAAAAAGCCTTCGTCGTGGGGTCATTCAAGAATGCCACCAACTAGCCCATACAGGAGTTGCACGAACATACGACCTAGTGAGCCAAAGTGCGTACTGGCCAAACATGAGAGGCGATATTGCGAACTACGTACTCGCTTGCCCACAGTGCCAATTGAGACAGTAACCGAGGCGGTTATTCGACATATTGTGGCGGATCATGGTGTACCAAAAATGATATTGACAGATCAAGGCCCCTGTTTTGAAAGTGAGGAGTTCAAGACTCGTCTGGAGGCACTGGGTATTAAGAGAATTAGAGCGACTCCGTATCATCCGCAGACAAACGGCTTAACCGAAAGGAATAATCGTACACTCAAGGAATGGCTAGCTGCGAAAAGAGGCAACTGGGAAACTGACTTACCGTTGGTATTACTGGCACATCGTGCCACAGTACAAGGGACAACAAAAAAGTCGCCTTTCCAGCTGATGTATGGGAGGAAACCACGCTTACCGGTGCACCATAAGACTTGGCCACAACAACAAAAATGGAACAGTAAGAGATGGACAAGTGAGCGGAAACAAGCTATTCAGAATATACAAGAGAAGCGAAAGATAGACATCGAAAATTATGGCAAGAAACAAATCAAAGCTTGGAAGCTGTTTGAAGTAGGCGACCAGGTGAAATGTAGAGAACGAAAGTATACTACCGGAAGTGGACCAGGATCAGGAAAGCTTCTGCCGAAGTGGGAGGGACCATATGTGGTCACATCGAGACGCGGTCCAGTGTACACAATAAAGAGAGGAGATAAAGAGAAAAGAGTAAACGCCAGTCTGCTACAAAGATGGAGACAAGAATGTCAAGACGAGGAACCGGAAGAACAGCAGGATGGAACGTCTGTGCGGCGATCAAGGCGGTTACAGGAGAGACTTTATAATGAGGGGCGAGTGTGGTGAGTGCTACTTATAATCCGATATAAGTAGTATATCAGAAAGCGAATTCAGAAGAGTAACAATATGTTTTGCACACTGGAAAGAGCGATCAAAGAAGAGAACCATGAGAAGAATGTTGCCATATGATGCAGAATCCAAGAAGCTATCGAATGTGACGATATTTGACCAATTCGTCAAGGATGTGGTAAATGATGTGCAAATGGCAGTTTGAAAATGTTATAGCAAATTTACCTATGTACAATACGTTTCACCACATAGAACTTCTTCTTTCAGCCTCCTCGGTCTTTTCTTCCTTACAATGCTACTTACTGGTTATGAACGGTGGATAACGCTAACGTGAATCTCCAAGGATTGTATTAGTCCCTTCTGGGATGAGCATACCCCTTTCTAACAAGCGATAAAATTCACGAAAATCAGTTGTAGACCTTTCTCCCAATAACCTTCAATCTCAACGAAAGAACTAAGGAAAAAAGAGATCAGATTACACAGATCAATCAAAAGTATAAATATTAACTTGATAAAGATAAACATTCTGAATGTCCGAATGGAGTTTACATTATGTGAGTAATTCATCAGCTGGGAACGAACAACTTTTCCAGGTAAACATTGTGCAGAATGACGTCTTGCTAACAGTTACACAATTTTGACATATTCACACGCATGAGAGTATCCATGACGATATATAGACAAACCTCGCGATATTTCCTTAAGGACTTCATCTTTATTTTATGATGTGGAAGAATAATGAAACGAACACTATTTACAAAGTTGCCCAAATGCGTCCGCACAAATTCATGTA